CCCAGTACAGGGACCCTGGGTCTTTTCTTCTGGGTGGTTTCCAGGTCACCCGTTCTCTATTGATTCAGACTAAAATATGGCCGTGCCTTAGTTATCTGGTGTTGCTATAATAAATACAAGTGAATGGCTTTAACAAACAAATTTGTTCTCTCACAGTTTGTTGTTGTTAAGTGCTATTCAGTCAGTTCTGACCCAGAGTGACCCTGTATAGGGTTTCTGAGGAGTGGCTGGTGAGTTTGAACCGCTGACCTTGTGGTCGAGTGCTTATCCTACAGTGCCACACCAGGACTCCTCTCACAGTTTCAGAGGCTAGCAGTCTTAATTCTGAGTGCCAGTTCTGGGGAAAGTTCCTTCTTTTCAGCATCCGTAGGTCCCGCAGTCCTTGGAGCGCTCCATGGGTCCTGGCATCAATCTTTCTTGGATCCAGGAGCCTCACAGTGCAGGGACTCTGGTCCACAGGACACACCCCACTCCTGGCTCTTGGTGGTAGCAGATCCCTTCTCTGCTCATTCTGCTTTTTATCTCTTGTGAAATAAAAGGTGTTGTAGGGCACACCCCTGGGAAACTCCAGCAGCTAATCAGGGGCATGATGGGATTAAGCGTTTTGAGCTCACCCTGAGTCCTCTGATTGGTTCATCACATCACATCTAGGGGTCATGTTGTAACTGCCACATTGCATAACTGCCAACCCATTGAGAATCATGGCCCAGTCAAACTGACACATATTTTGTTGTTGTTAAGTGCCATTGAGTCAGTTCCGACTCATAGCAACCCTATATAGGGTTTCCAAGGAGCAGCTTGTGAGCTCCAACTGCCGAACATATAGTTCAGATCTACCTTGCAGTCAAGTGCATTAACCCACAGCACACCAGGACTCCGACACATATTTTAGGGGCACACAATTCAATCCATGATACGCAGTGAAGGGAGAGGTGACTTGAGTCACACCTCTAGTAAGGTACTGAAGATACATCCCACTCTACTGCTGCCTCCTTAACATAAAGGCCAACTCACTCCCAAATGGAACTATAACCACAGGCCTGTAGAAGCTGTGGTTTATTACACATCACAAAATGGAGGGCTATAGGATAAACACCAGACTGCTAACTGAAAAGTCATTGGTTCAAATCCACCAGCTGCTACTCAGAAGCCCAATGCCTTCTGGTGATGTGTCCCTATCTCAGTGTTACAGCTGTCTCCTGGGTCTAGGAGGGTCCCACTATGAGTTGGAATTGACTAGACGGCAGTGGGGTGTGTGTGTGTGTTTTAGGTAACATGAGTCTATTTTATTTAAATCATAACAACATAGCTACAAGGACTGGCCATGTTAAGTAAGTGGCCACTTACTTAACACTGCATGGCAACAAGAGGCAGCTCTAATTGTCCAAATGCATGCTGATGAGAACCTGAGTTAGAAACAATGAGAGCTAAGTGAATTAGGGTGCAGTGATATTTGGCAGTTTTCTTGTGTTCCAGGGGAAAAAGAGACCCCATATGAAAATATATTCCATAGAGACCCTTTTACTTAGACTTAAACAGAAGAAAAACAATCATCTGGCTGAGGGACTCCCATCAGCATGATGCCAAAATGGAATTCACTGATTCACAGCCATGGGGCGGATTATTTGTTAAGTGCTGTTGAGTTAGTTCTGACTCATAGTGACCCTGTATAGGGCTTCCAAGGAGCAGTCGGTGGGTTTGAACCACCAACCTTGTGGTTAGCAGTCTAATGCTGATCCTACAGGCAGGACTCCAGCAGCTAATTAAGGAAATCATCACAAAATCATGATTGGTGGCAGCTACAATCCATCACCATCGTTGTTAAATGCCATCGAGTCGTGTCTGACTCATATTGACCCTGTATTTGGTTTCTGAGGAGCAACTGGTAGGTCTGAACTGTGGAATTTGTGGTTCCCAGTCCAGTGCTGATCCTGCAGTGCCACAATCCTTAGGGGAATTAAAGAAATGGGGAAAGAAGGGCCATGAGCGGGATACATTCACAATTACAGATTTCCAAACTGGTCTGGGGTTTCCATTCCTGGCTACTTAGTGGTCATGTAGCCTTGAGTCATAGCCTCCAGGGCATCATTTTTCTCTTTTCTTTTCTGATTGTGAATTGAGTGAAGGTTTCAGACAAGGCCATCAGTTTTACATTCAACAAATCATACTTTCTTTCATCTCAGTGATTGCAATCCCCTCCATACATCAGTTACCCGCTTCCTCCCTATGGTTACCCATGTAGAAATAACCTTTCTAAGACTCTGATTTATTGTGGGATATATAAACACACACACACACATATATATGTATCCCACTCTTCCTTCCATACCCATTCAGCCTGTGTCCCTGTCCAGTTATCTATACACAGAACACTGTTGTTCCGAAGTTGTGTGTATGTCACTGTCTACCTCTATCCCCTTTAGCCTTTGCACACCTCCCTGTGTCTTCACCTGTCTTCATCATTTTTCTGTCAAGCTCCCTCTTTTTGTATATTGCTCTTCCTGTCACCTAAGTTAGCATGTGTCTACCCTCTAGTCAGTGAATTATTCTCCCTTCCCTCCCACCCCTGATAACCATCAAAGAATGTTTCTTTTAGCGTGAAAACATTTTCTTGCACTTTTACAATAGTGGTCTCATATAGTATTTGTAGGACACCAAATTTTAACCCAAACTTGATAACATGATGTGAGAAAGATGAGGCTATCTGCTCCCATAAAGACTGTCTCCAAAACGCTATACAGGGTCCCTGTGGGTTGAAATTGGCATTAGGTTGTTTTTTGTTTTCATTTGTTTTATTAACATAAAGCTATTTTCCTTAAATTATTAAGAACTTGCCCAGGCAAATTCCCTGCAAGCTTGGTTCTCCATGCAAGCCTAAGGGCAAAACTGTCTCCCTTCCAGGAATGGCCTGGGAGTTGTAACCTATTTTCAAATACTCTTCCAGAGAACAAACTGCCCTTCCCTACATTTGCCTAGGAGTTAGAGCTACATTGCTGGTTCAGTGGTCAGAAAGAACTCAAATGGAATCCGAACTAAAGTCAAGACTCAAAACGGAGTTAGGATTCCCACTGTAGACTACAGCATCCTACAAACCAAGTGCTTTAGAATTTAAACTCTAATACACTTATCTTCCTCATAGACTGGAAGCAACTTGAGGGCAGGGACTGCCTGTTGTGTCCACTCTATTTCCTAGCACTACGTCTTGAACATCATGTTGCTGTTAAGTGCCATTGAGATGCTTCCCACTCATAGCAACCCTGTACAGTGTTTCCAAAGAGCAGCTGGTGGATTTGAACTGCTGACTTGTGGTTTGCAGCCCTGAACTGATCCTACAGCACCACAACATCACTGTTGTTGTTGTTAAGTGCTGTCAAGTCAGTTCTGACCCATAGCGACCACGTATAGGGTTTCCGAGGAATGGCTGGTGAGTTTTAAGTGCCGACCTTGTGGTTCAAACCAACCTTGTGGTCCAGTGCATTAACCCCCAGCGCCACATCAGGACACAATAATATATATTTGATGAAGAGATAAATTAGAGGAAGGAGTCTGAACGATGCCTTGAGACTGGGGGCTGGTTGTAACTGTTCATCAAGGCAAGGAAGGCAGGTGTTGAAGTAGGGTAGGAGACGGTGCAGAGACCCTGTTGAGTTGAAAGCATGTTACGTTTGTTTGTAAGTCAGATAAAATCATAATAGCAAACACTTTGGCATACTTAAACTGTTCCCAGAGTCCTGGTGTAGCACTGCATAGGATCAGCACTGGACTGCTAACCATAAGGTTGTGGTTCAAACCCACCAGCTGCTCCTCAAAAACCCTATACAGGGTCACTATGAGTCAGAAACAGTTCAATGGCATTTAACACTCTGTTCCCAACCCACTGCCATTAAGTAGATATAGTTACCCTACGTGGGGTTTTCCGGACTATAAATCTTTACAGGAGCAGATAGCCTCATTTTTCTCCTTTGGAGAACCTGGTGGGTTTGAACTGCTGACTTTTCCATTATCAGCCCAATTCCTAACCCACAGTGCCACCAGGATTCCTTAACTTTGTTCCAGGTACTGCTTAAAGCCTTCAACCTTTTATATATAGATGTCTTTGTTATCCAGAATCAGGAACTGAATTGATTTGGATAGCAAGAAGTATTAAATGATTTAACCTTCACAAAACCCCATGAAGTAGCTACTATTATTATCATGTTGTTGTCGTAAAGTGCCGTCAAGTCGGTTCTCATAGCGACCCTCTATAGGGTTTCCGAGGAGGGGCTGGTGGGTTTGAACCGCCGACCTTGTGGTTCGCAATCCAGTGCTGATTGTACAGCGCCACACCAGGAGTCCAGTATTATCAAGATCATTCATACTTTGTTGTTGTTATCAAGTGCCATTGAGTCGGTTCTGACCCAGAAACAGAGCCAATGTAAGGTGAAGTAACTGGTTTAAGTGAATTAACTTGGTAATTACCAAGTTAAGATTTGAACCCAGGCAGCCAGACTTCAGGCACTGAATCACTGGACTATACTGCCTCAGTAGTGCGTAGAGATCTGTACTCAGGTCTAGGCCAGAACCCGAACCTTTCAGGGTCAAGAACTACAGCATCAGCAAGTACCAGATGACTGATGGTCCTAGGTCATTACTATCTTCAACAGCAACCAAGAAAGGCCTACCTCTTCAAGTTGGCTCCTGGACAGTGGAATGTTCCAGACTGTCAGAAATGTCCTCAGATCCCTCTGTCCCCAGAGCTCCAGTAAGAGCAGCTCTCAAGAACTATACTCACTGACCCCTAGACCTCTCTGCTCACTCACAGCAAAAACTGGGTGCCACTCAGTCCCAGCAAAAGGGGTTTGCAGGGCAGGCTGGGAGATGGTGAATATCAGAAAAGGTGTCTTCTGAGGAGTGGTGAAATCTATGTTGAACCCTCCCTATAACACCATTTCTCTATTTTTTTTCTCCTCCTTTCTCTCGCTCATGCCTCTTCCACTGTCCCCCACCCCCATCTTTCCCAGTGGCGCTGACTGTCATCACTCACACTCCTGTCCCTCAAATTCGTCTGGGCCACGATGCTATGCTAGACTTGAGCTTCGCCTATATGCCCCCTACCCCTGAGGCTACAACATCCCAAGCCTTGGGTCCTCCTCCTTTTGGGCTAGAGTGGCGACGCCAGCACCAGGGTAAGGGGCACCTGCTCCTGGCCACAGCCCCTGGGCTGAGTGAGCAGATGCCAGCGGCCCAAGAGGGGGCAGTGACATTTGCTGCATGGGATGACAATGAGCCATGGGGTCCGTGGATTGGGAACGGGACCCTCCAGCTGCCTGCAGTGCGACCCTTCCAGGAGGGCAGCTATCTGGCCACCGTCCATCTACCATACCTGCAAGGGCAGGTCACCCTGGACCTTTCTGTGTATAGTGAGTGTGTGTGTGGCGGCGGGGACAAGGATTCCCATAGGTAGGGGAGTAGGCACTGGGATTAAGGTTGTCATGAGAAGGGGTGGGAGGGTGCCTAGATGAATAAGGATCCTTGGGCATCAGAAGGGCTTTAGCCTGGTGATTCCTGTGAAGCACCAATGTGGGGAGACAATGGGTTCCCCCGATCCTGGGAGAGAAAACCCAGACTCCCTGTTTTGGGGAGTCCAGAGGCAAGCTGAGGGCCTTTGAGGGAGGAGAGAATGGACTAATTCTCCTATGCCCATCTCCTTCTCTTTCCTTAGAGCCCCCTAAAGTGTCCATGATGCCAGCACACCTGGTATGGGCTGCCCCTGGGGAGGCCCCTCCAGAATTACTCTGCCTCGCTTCCCACTTCTACCCCCCTGAGGGCCTGGAAGTGGAGTGGGAGCTCCGAGGTGGCCCAGAGGGTGGCTTTCGGAAGGCTGAAGGACAGAGGTGGCTCTCTGCCGTGCGCCACCATTCTGACGGCTCTGTTAGTCTCTCTGCGCACCTACAGCCGTCTCCTGTCACTACTGAGCAGCATGGAATGCGTTACACCTGTCTCATCCACCACCCTAGCCTGCCTGCCTTGGGGCGCAGTGCCCAGGTGACCCTGGAAGTGGGAGGTAAGGTCCAGGAACCCACTGGGGCTGGGACTGGGACTGGGACTGGATTTGTATGGACCTCACTATTGTCCCATCTGCCTTCCAGGCCTTTCCGGGCCCACTGTAGAGGACAGCATTGGCCTCTTCCTCTCAGCCTTTCTCCTCCTTGGCCTCATCAAGGCACTGGGCTGGGCCGGTGAGTGTGTGCCCCACCTACCAAGACCCTCTACTTGCAGGACATTCCTGCCTACTCCCAGAAGACTAACACCCACTCCTTTACCCCCTTTCACATCCCCATCCCTTCCACCATCCCATCCTTTCTCAATCTCTCTCCACAGCTGACTACCTGGTCACTTCCAAGAATTCAACGGAAAAGGTAACAACGCATCACTTTCCTTTATTTTTTCCTTATCATTTTATCCCCTTCTCCCAACTCATCACCCATGGTGAGAGGCTGCTGGTGTCTTGGGTAGTACCTGGGCTTAGAATTCACACAACCTGCTGCTTACATCATTAAACTGTAGGACCCCTTGAACAAGCTATTTAACTCAAGTTTCTGTGGCAGTTTGTAACACCAGGATAACAAACATTACTTAAGTAGCACGCACTGTCTGATAGAAATACAATGCAAGCTACAAGCTACGTATGAAAATGTAAATAGTCTAGAAGCCATATTGCAAAGCACAGTGGCTCTGTAGGATACGCACTGGACTGGTCTGTTTTTCGAGCCTACCAACCAATCCGAGGAGGAAAGATGAGGCTTTCTGTTCCCACAAAGATTTACAACCTTGGAAACCCTATACAGGGTCACTCTAAGTCGGGAACTGACTCAACAGCACTTAACAAATGGTGGTGGAGTGGTGTGCCACCAAGCTGGTTCCAACTCAGCGACCCTGTATAGGGTTTGAAGCTGTAAATCTTTACAGGTACAGAAAACCTCCTGTTTCTCCTCTGGAGCAGCTACTGGTAAATTCGTACTACTACTTTGCAGTTAGCAGCCCAGCTCCTAATCCATTAAATTGCCAATGCTTCTTTAACAAGTAGCCACATTAAGAAAAAGTTCAAAGAAATAAGTGAAACTAATTTTAAATAATATATTTAACTTTAGCTAAGGTGCTCTGGTAGCATAGTGGTTACGAATCAGGCTGTGAACAGCAAGGTCAGCAGTTCGAAACTACCAGCCGTTCTGTGGGAGAAAGATGAGGCATTCTGCTCCCATAAAGATTTATAGCTTCAGAAACCCTGTATAGGGTCACTATGAGTCGAAACAGACTCCACGGCACATAACAACAACAAATATAGTCCAAAATACTGTTTCAATAAGTAATCAATATAAGAAATGATAGTATTTTTCGGCACTAAATTTTATAAAACTGGTGTTTGTTTTAAAATCTCAATTCAGACTAGCCACATATCAAATGCTTGATATCCCCATATTTCTCTGGATTGACTTTGAGCATTTTACCTTACCCCCAAAAATGCCAAATTCCTCACCTCTTCTTTCTTCTTTTTCAGAAAGTACAATGAGGGCATTCTCCCCACCAGCACCTTGTGGAAGCCACCATCATCTCTGGTCTGAGCTGCTGCAGTAGCTCCTCTGAATCGTGTCCCCATCATGGTCTGCTCTTCTCTCTTATCCATTCTTCAGAGTGACCACCAGAATGCCTTTTTTAAGGCACAAATCTTCCTACATTCATCTGAGAGCAGTAGTTGTCAAATTTTTTGGGCTCAGGACCTCTAAAAATTAATCAAGGATCCTAAAAAGATCTTTTGCTTATGTGGGTTATAACAACTAGTATTTAAGCATACTAGAAATTAGCACCGAGTAAAAAAAAGAAACCCAAGAATACACAAGCATGCATATCCCATTAATTGTGAGAAGGATGATATCAATACATCATGTAGCTTCTGGAAAACTCGACCACACCTATTTTTAGATAATGATTGTGATAAAGACAAATAACACCCTAGTTTGGAGTCCTGGTGTGGCCCTGTGGATTAATGAGCTGGACTGCAAAGTTGGTACAAACGGCAAGGTCACCAGCCGCTCCTCAGGTTGCTCTCTAGGAGTCCGAACCATCGACTGCACTTAACGTACCACAAGGTCGGCAGTTCTAGCCCACCAGCTGCTCCTAGGAAACCCTGTATATTGGTCATTAGGAAAATAATCTTGACTTTACAATGTGTGTGCCTGTCGCTCTGGGACCCTGCTTATCTCTCAAACCTCTCAGGCCCCCGCCCCCCTACTCAATGCTCCTCACACCCACCCTTCAATAGGACAAACGCCCCCTGCCAGGTCCCAGCTGTTCCCTCTGCTCCGTACATTCTTGCCCTCCTGGGGCCCTAGGCTAGGCCAGCCCCGTCATGCCCCTCAGCCTACTGTCCCTCTGGTAAGATACAGCACATTTGTATTTGTGATTGTGCGAACCGTTGTTCAATGCCAGCCTTTACTTCAGGACCATGTTCCTCGAACGCAGAAAGGAGCCTGTCTGTCCACTGCTGTATCCCCCGCGGCCGCAGGGAGCCTGGCGCCCACTGGAGGGCGCGCCTCAAATAGCTGATGGATGTTGGATGAAGGAAGTTAAGGGCTGGTTTAGGGACTTCCTAAGGGTCGGACGGTCAGATTGGGGGCAGCGATTCTAATCGTGTGAAATAAAATGTACCAGTGCTTCAACGAGGCCTCTCATTTTCCCCCAGACTCCAAGAACACTACTTCCAATCACCTCTAGTTCCTCTCAATAACCCCACCATCTCAACACCTCAGTGACACCCAGTCCCCAGCCCCTTCAAAATAATTAGGGGTAGGGGTCGGAAGCCACTAATGGCGCCCAGGACACCCTCAAGCCACGGACTCTCCCAGGGCGACCACAGGAAACGGAGATGCCGACCCCAAGAGCCGGAAGCCCCTGAGCGCCGAATCTGGAGCCGGATGTGGTTACTTCCTGCCCTACCCCCCTTGCATGGAGGCGGGAACCGAGGGCTCCTTGAAAAACCCGGAGTGGATTTGGCCCGCTACTCGCGTGGGTGGGATTGGGGAAAAGTAACATCACGGGGGCGGAGTAACGGGGTCCTTCGCCTCCTAAAACGCATATCGCTGGAATTTTAGCTTTGTTTTTTGGATGTGGGAGATGTTAAATTCTGTTTCTGCCCTCCTACGGCGGCTGGAGCCTGGAATCATTCCAATTCAGAGCTGGCTGACGTGGGCTTCAGGATCTCAGAGTTGGGGGCCAGAGGACAGTGGCGATTGTCGGTACCCGCGGTCCTGGGTCCAGGCTCTTGGCGTCCGGCGCTCTCCTAGTCCGCGGTCCTGGCTCCTGTCCTCACTTCCTTCCCCTTTTGGCTCCAGTTCTCCGAGCAGGCGGACGTGGGGGGGGGGGGAGCGGAAAGGGCGGGAGGGCCTGGGAGCCCGGGGAAGGGGGGGGGCTCAAGGGGTTGCGGAAAAGCCGGGGAGGGGATTCGGTCTGTGGCTGGAGACCGACAGAAACAGCGACCTAGGACCCGTGCTACCCCCGCCCCTCCCGAGCAGGTCAGAGCCAGAGCACCCTTTGACCTGCCCAACTCGGATCTTGACCTCTCATCCCCAAAATGCACCAGGGCCCCCATATTCCACCCTTGTGTTCCTCTTCCCCCACTTCTCACCAGGACTTCCTTCTGGTTACTTAGACACCCGCAGCGACCCTCGCCTGCCGGGATTCCCCACGCCCCTTAACTCTCCACAGTCTCCCCTTGTCTTTCCCCAGGCTCCCGATGGCCCGACCCCACTGATTCCTTCACTCGGTCATGCTCCCGCGGCCCCTTCGGCTGCTCTTGGATGCGAGCCCCCCCGGGGGAGTCGTGCTGAGTAGTTTCCGGAGCCGGGACCCAGAAGAAGATGGGGGTCCAGTTGCCCAGGACGTGGGTGGGGACCAGGAGGAAGAGGAGGAGGAGGAAGAGGTGAGAAGCGGTTGGCAGGAGATGGTGGTGGTGGTAGTGTGCGGTGGAGTCAGTTCCTACTCATAGCAACCCGGTATAGGGTTTCCGAGGCTGTCAGTCTTTACAGGAGCAGAAAACCTCATCTTTCTCTCGCGGAACCGCTGGTAGTTTCGAACTGCTGACCTTAGGTTAGCAGCCAGAGCTCCTTTGGCAGGAGGTAGGGAGCGTATATATTTCGGAGTCCCTTTCCACCTTTCTCTCTGTGTCTTTGTGTCCCTATGTCTCGTCCTCCCTGCCTTAATTTACTACTGTGCCTCTTCATGGCTATCTGCCGGTCGCCCTGCTGTGGGGAGTCCCGGAGCCTCTGTGGTTCTGTGTCAGTGTGACAAAGGACCTGCCCACAGGAACCTGTCCCGTTCCTCTCTACAGTGTCGGTCTGCTAGTGTCCCTTCGGGTTTCTGGCCCTCTCGGCCAGAGCTTGAGTCTGCCCGCCTCTCTGAATAGTTGCGTCTGGGTCCTGATCTCCCTCCTTGTATTTGTTTGGAGGGGTGGGGTTTGTTTCCACAGTAACCAGCTGCTCTAACTCTGGGATTGGGGAGGGAACCCTCAGATTTCATGATCCCTCCCTTTCCCCCCTCCCTACTGAGTCTGGTGTTGGGTGAAGCCCGGAAGTTGAGGTTCTAGGACCTGGAGGGATACAGCCCCATACTGGGTAGGGACGGGGTAGGGGGTGTGATCATTTGGGATTGATAATGAACCAGGAGTAGAGTTTGGGCTCAGGAGACGCCAGGTGTTGGATCTGGGGCCCAAGGTTCTGGATTTCTGGGTCCAGAGCCTGGGTGAGGTCAGGGTGACTGGCTGGGCAGGTTTTTCGGGATCAGGCGGGGGAGGGGCTGGGGCCACGTGATTCTGAGTCTTACCCCCCCCCCCCCCATTCCCACTTCCCCTTCTTCTTCCTGTACTGGGATCTCGGAGCCGCCACCTTGGGGAGGGGGGTCTCCAGGGCTGTAAAAGAGAGTGGAGACCCCACCTGGGGGACCAGGGAGCAAAGGAGTCTAAGAGAGGCCTAATTCTTTGGGTTTGGCCCCTCCCTGGGTTGGGGGGTAGGCGGGGCCTGTGGCTGTGCCTTTGACTGAGTTTTCACCTTCTCTAGGTCTCTGCCTCTGGCTTTCTACCTCTTTCGCTTTACCCTCTTGGCCTTTGCACCCTGTTGTTCCCCTGTGTTGGGGTTCAGCTCTGGGGGGAAGCGGCTCTGGGGGTCTCCAGGATCAGGGTTCCTACCGTTCCCGCACTCCCCCACACCACCCCCCGCGACTCCACAGGGCCTTTAGACGGCTTGGGTGGGGCTGTTTGGGCCCCAGTGGGGGAGACCTGGGGTCACCAGCCCCCCCCATCCCTCGCACACGCTGGTACTGTCCCCCACCGTCACAGGTGAGGGTACAGAGGATGGGTGAGTGAGGGTGGAAGGTGTAGGGAGGGGTATGTGCTGTCTGACCTCTTCCTTGCTCCTCCAGGCCCCTGTGTCTGTCTGGGATGAAGAGGAGGATGGCGCCACCTATACCGTCACAAGCCGCCAATACCGGCCTCTTGAACCCTTGGTGAGAGCATGCCTTTGACTTCTCACCACTGATCCTTCTTCTCTTAAGTTTCCCTTCTTCTAACTAGATGTCCTAAGAGCTCTTGCAGCGTAGTGGTTACGGAGTGGGGCTGCGAACTTTAAGGTCAACAGTTTGAAACTACCAGCTGCTCCATGGGAGAAAGATGAGGCTTTCTGCTCCCCGGTAAAGATTTACAGTATCAGAATCAACTCGACAGCACTTAACAACTAGACGTCCTGGTGTAGTACTGTGGGTTAATGCAGCGCTGGTCATTAGCCACTCCTTGATAAACTTTATACTGTGCTCAACTACCAGTTGGAACAGACTTGATAGCACTTAACAACAACCAGAGTGCTTTGACTCCTGACTCCTGGTGTGACACTGTAGGATAAGCACTGTACTGCTGACCATAAGATTGGTGGTTCAAATCTACCAGCTGTTGGAAACCCTATACACTACCTTGGAAACCCTACACAGGGTCACTATGAGTTGAAACCAACTCTATGACACTTAGAAAACAAGTAAACCCAGAGTGTGCTATGATAGGCACTTGGAGACCCAGACTCTACTGTGTGACTTAGGCTAAAGTCTTTTGTCATCTCTGAAACTCAAATGGGCCTGGACCATCTTCTAGGACTGAGATGGTCCCCAGTCTGGGGTTTGGGTTGAGGGAAGGCTCAGCGGTTGACCCTGTGTCTCTCCTAGGCCCCCACACCTCCCCCGCGCTCCTCCCGAAGGCTCCGAGCTGGCACTCTGGAGGCCCTGGTCAGACACCTGCTGGATGTCCGGACATCAGGGGTTGACGTGACCTTCACCTCCACCTTTCTGGCCACCCACCAGGCCTTCACCTCCACGCCTACTCTGCTGGGGCTTATGGCTGACAGGTCAGGGATCCTAAGGAACCAAAGGTTGTAGAAGGGTTTGGATTTCCTAAAGCCAGGCTGTTTGACCCTTCCAAAATTGTCAACACCATTGGGAGTTTAGAAAAAGTGGACAGTGAGATTCTTTTCCTTTCCCCAGGCTGGAAGCCCTTGAATCTCATCCCACTGATGTTCTAGAGAGGACCACAGGGTGAGTGACCCCTGATTCTTACTTCCCAATCTTCTCTAAGCTGCAACTTGACTTTTAACCCCTGGCTGATTCCCCTTCTCCAGGGTAGCCACCTCTGTACTGTCAACCTGGCTGGCCTCTCATCCTGAAGATTTTGGCTCTGAGGTCAAGGGTCAGCTTGACCGGCTTGAGAGCTTCTTGCTTCGGACAGGGTATGCAGCAGGGGAGGGTGTTGGGGGGGGCAGCGCTGAACTCATCCGCAATCTCCGGTCCCGGGTGGACTCCCAGGCCCCCGACCTTCCTAAGCCCCTGGCCCCCCCTGGCGACCCCCCTGCTGACCCCACGGATGTCCTGGTGTTCCTCGCTGACCACTTGGCCGAACAGCTGACCCTGCTAGATGCGGTGAGACCCTGATCTCTGACCCCTGTGCCCCCTGCCCTTACTAACCTCACCTAAAGTCCAGACCCCTTCTCGCTTCCACCCCTTCCTGATTCAGCTCCAAGCCTCCTCCCCAATAGCCCAGTTTTGCCCTGTTCCCTTCTCCCCTTGATTGTGTCCTTCAAACCTTATGCCCACTGGTTCCTTGGCTACCTGAGACCCTCAGACCCCTGCAATTAGAAAGCTGACCTCGCTTGACCCTGACCTTTAATCTCTAACATCTATCCTATAGGAGCTGTTTCTCAAACTGGTCCCCTCCCAGTGCCTGGGGGGTCTTTGGGGTCACAGAGACCGGCCGGGACATTCCCACCTCTGTCCATCTGTCCGAGCCACTGTCACACAGTTCAACAAGGTGGCAGGGGCTGTGGTCAGCTCTGTCCTGGGGGCCACCTCGGCTGGAGAGGGGCTTGAGGAAATAACCATACGACCACTCCGCCCACCACAGAGGGCCCGTCTCCTGGAGAAGTGGATCCGTGTGGCAGAGGTGAGAGAACATGACCTGCTGGGGCTCACGGTGTGGAGAGGGGTCCCACAGCTAGTGCCTCTCTCAGTGACCTGTGAACCACGCCTCCTGCAGGAGTGCCGTCTACTCCGAAACTTCTCTTCAGTTTATGCTGTTGTGTCTGCCTTGCAGTCCAGCCCTATCCACAGGCTTCGGGCAGCCTGGGGGGAAGCAGCCAGGTGGGTAGGGTGGAGCCCTGGACTGGGGGAAGGGACCTCTCAGAGACTGGGAAGAGGAGGTGTCCTCAGTCATGGTCCCTGCCCTTCATCCCTCAGGGACAGTCTCAGAGTTTTCTCCAGCCTCTGCCAGATTTTCTCTGAAGAGGATAATTACTCCCAGAGCCGGGAACTACTCTTGGAGGTAAAGTCCTAGCCCCTGGTGTTCCCAGCCATTCCTGTTCTCCGCTTCTCCTGGACACCCCTCACCACCCCTTCATATCTCCTATTCTGTCACCACCAGGAGGTGAAGCTACAGACCCCTCTGGAGCCAAATTCCAAGAAGTCCCCGAGGTCTGGCTCCCGGGGTGGGGTGAGTGACTAGTGGTGGGTGGCTGTGAAGAGTGAGAAGTGTGGGTGGGGAGCAGCTTGAGGGATGGAAGAAGGAGGC